CTTACAAAGTATTGGGGATCTTAAGGAGCTTTCATTTTTCAGTATACATGATGAGTATTTATTGCATTAGAAACCCAAACTGGGCTGGGCGTGGTGGCTCATGCCTGTAATCCCAGCACTTTGGGAGGCTGAGGCAGGCGGATCATGAGGTCAGGAGATCGAGGCTATCCTGGCTAACACAGTGAAACCCCATCTTTACTGAAAATACAAAAAATTAGCCAGGCATGGTGGCACGTGCCTGTAGTCCCAGCTACTCAGGAGGCTGAGGCAGGAAAATCGATTGAACTGGGAAGGCGGAGGCTACATTGAGCCGAGATCATGCCACTGCACTCCAGCCTGGGCAACAGAGCGAGACTCTGTCTCAAAAGGGCCAATAAAATCTTCGTTTTCTCAATGCGAAGTGTTTTAGCCTTATTGACTCTCTCTGAAGGTATCTCAAGGGTCCTCAGGTTTCTCCAGACCACACTTTGAGAACTGCAGTCTGAAATCATTGATTTTTACATGTCTGTTTTCTCCTAAGAGCATCAAACATTAGAGAAAACCCTAAAAACATTCATTGCATCCCACAAGTTTGGATAGATTGTGTTCTTTTCTTATCCAGTTCACAACTTTTCTAAATTCCTTGGTGATTTCTTCTATGTCTCAAGGAATATTTTGAAATGTGCCTTTTCACGTCCAAATCTTTGAGAAGTCAGCAAACTTTTCCTTGTTCGTACATTACTTCATTCTGTTGTGTTCAGAAAACACACTCTTTATTTCGTTTAAATCTATGGAGACTTGCTGAAAGGCCACATGTAGGGTATACCTCGGCAAATGCTTCATGCACACTTGAATGTGTATTCTGCAGTTTGGCATAGTGTTTAGTAGGTCAACATTTTGCAGAGATAATAGAATTTTGCCTGATTTTTTGCATATTTGTTCTAGTATATTGTGTTTGGGGAAGATTTATAACCATAGTGAGAGAGAAGCAAGGAAACCTCTAACTGGTTATTGGCTTATCTACTTCTCTCTTGAGTTCTTTCAGTCATTGCTTCATATATCAGAAGGGCTCTTATTAGGGTACAACACATTTAGCCTTGGTACGTCTTCATGGATGAACCCTTTTCATTCATGAAATGTCCTTCTGATCTTGGTCTTATTTCTTGTCCTGAAATCTCCTTTGTCTGATCTTGACATTGCCACTCCAGCTTTCCTCTGCTTCACGTGTTCCAGGTATAGCGTTTCCATACTTTGGTTTTCCATTCAGTTTTTCCATTTAAAGGGCACTGATTGTAAAAGAACCTCACTGGGCTTTGGTTTTTACTCAACTTAACCGTCTCTGCCTTTCATGTCCAGTGTATCATCCTGTTTCATGGAATTCACTTAGGAGGGGGCTGAGTTTCAGTCGGTCAGGATGCTATGCATTTTCTGCCTGGACCTCATCTTCTTTATTTTGTACTCTTCCTTTCCTTTATTCTTTTGGATAATGGAATAGTCTAATTATAATCTATTCCTCTATGTTTTAATGATGGTGGTGGCTCTAGGACTCACAATATCCCTCTTGGACCTACTGCATTCAACCACATAACCCCACATTTATATTACCTAACATCATGGATGACATCACAAACTGTGTACTTCCACAGATTCCCTACATTATTGATGCTACTGCTTTCAAACTTTTACCTTTACATATGTTAAAAAAATACATTGCTATCATTTTGCTTCAATGAGTCGATCTGTCAAAGACAGTAATAAATTAGATGAATACAATCTTTTACATTGAACTTGACATTTGCGATTTCCAGGCTTCTTCATTACATAGTATGGATTAAGGTTTTTACCTGGTATTATATTCCTTCTACCTAAATAGCTTTCTTTAACATCTTTTCTTTTTCTTTTTTTTTGAGACAGAGTCTCACTCTGTCACCCAGGCTGGAGTGCAGTGCCGTGATCTCAGCTCACTGCAGTCTCCGCCTCCCAGGTTCCAGCGATACTCCTGCCTTGGCCTCTTGGGTAGCTGGGATTACAGGCATGTGTCACCACGACCGACTAATTTTTTGTATTTTTAGTAGGGATGGGGTTCCACCATGCTGGACAGGCTGGTCTCGAACTCCTGATCTCAGCTGATCCGCCCACCTAGACCTCTCAAAATGCTATGATTACAGGCGTGAGCTACTGTGCCTAACTTTAACACTTTTCTTTCTTTTTCTGTTGAGAGGGAATCTTGCTTTGTTGCCCATGCTGGAGTGCAGTGGTGCAATCTTGGTGATTTTGGCTCACTGCAACCTCTGCCTCCAGGGTTCAAGTGATTCTCCTGCCTCACCCTCCAGAGTAGCTGGGATTACCTGCATGTGCCACCACACCCAGCTATTTTTTTTTTTTTTTTTGTATTTTTAGTAGAGATGGGGTTTCACACTGTTAGCCAGGCTCGTCTTGAACACCTGATCTCAAGGGATCCACCCACCTTGGCCTCCCAAAATGCTAGAATTACAGGTGTGAGCCAATGTGCCTGGTCCTTTACACCTTTTCTTATGGGAAACTGCCAATCAGACAGGCTTTTAGATTTTTGTTTGTTTGTTTTGGGGAGGTACAGAATATTCCTTTGTATAAATTCATTTTCAAGGGATTTTTATTTCTGGATATAGTGTTCTAGGTTGATCTTTTGTTTCTATTTCGTCACTTTAAAGATGTTATTCCATGGTTTCTGGCTTGCATTGTTGCTGACGAGATGGCATCAGCCTTTTTTTTTTTTTTTTGTCGTAGCTCCTCTACGTTAAAGGATCTTTCCTTCCTCTGGCTTCTGGAAATGGTTTTTCTGCTTAGCTTTGAACTGGGACAATTTAACTATGATGTCCCCCAGTAGAGCACAGAGTTTTGCTCTTTAGAATTGTATATCTGAGTCACTGAGCTTCTTGACTTTGTAAGTTTCTTGTTTTCTGGATATTTGGAAAGTTATCAGCCATCATGGCTTCAAGTATAATTTCTGTCACAATATCTCTTTGCTCTCCTTCTGTGACGTGCTTAACATGTATATGAAATGTTTGGATGTTTTTATAGATGTCCTTGAGGCTCTGCTGATTAGTTGGTTCAGTCTTTGTGTGTATGTGTGTGTGAGTGTGTGTGTCTTTCCTGTGGTTTGTCTAGTTTCTATTTAATTATTTTCTAGTTCACTTTTCCTATTGTAATGTCTAAAGTGATGATAAGGCCATCCAGTGAATTCTTCATTAGAGATTGCCTTTTCTCAGTTCTTTAATTTCTATTTGGCTCTTTAATTCTTTTTCTTTCTCTTGATATTCTACAATTGTTTCTCTCATGGTCAGGTTTTCCTTATATCCCTGAACATAGTTCTCATAGGTGCATTTTAAATATTTTTGCCAATGCCATCATTTCTATCATTGCTGGGTCCGTTTGTGTTGAGTGATTTTTCTCCTGGTTATGGATCACACTAAATGCTTCTTGTGTGTCTAGTAAATTTTTAATTGAGGTCACACATTGTAGAAAAGCCATATAACTGAGCAACTAGACTGTGTTCCTTAACTCTAAGGAGGTTGAGTTTTCTTCTGGAAGGCAGTTAATTTACTTGGAGATCATTTGGACCCTTTAGACTTGCTTGGAAAAAGGGTTGCTTGCGGGTTTCTGGAGTTGCCTTTACTCTAGGAATACAATGATCCTACTCCCAAAATATGGTTTTCTTTGGTTTCTAATGAATGCCCAAGATGTTCACTGAGGTGTCTCTCTCACAGTGGTCAGAACCCAAATATCCCCCAGTGCTATGTGAGCTCTGGCATCTCGATTAAGCTCACGGTTCCCCTGCAGTTGTTCTTTTCCCAGTAGCTGTCCTTTATCCTCCTTTCTTTGTGGAACCTCTCCCTGTGCATACGCAGCTTTCTATTTAGCCAAAGTCTTGAGGAGACTTCTACGCGTATTCCTGGAGCTCCTTTCTCCACAAATCCCTTCTCATTCTTAGCTAACCTGGAATACCTCAGCTGCCTGAAACATCGCAAACTTCAGTCTCTCTCCTCAGTTCAGCAAGACTGCCATGGTCGGCTTGGGCTCCATCTCCTTGCCCTTTAGTCCAACAAGGGTCTCCAGAAGGATGCCAGGCTAATGATGGGGTTGATCTCCTTTGATTCCCTTTCTCAATTCTCTTAGGCCTATCATGCCTATTGTCTAACCTGTGAAAACACTTTTCCCATGTATTTGTTAATCCTTCATGGCAGAAAGGCTGGCATGGTCAGAACTGGGTTTCTGTCCATCTTCCTGCATGTGTAACTCTTCAGAATCTCTATATTTCCTAACTCTCAGCTGCCTTCCTACTTTTGCTCCTCAAGTGCTGGCAACACATAGCTCTTCAGACACCTTGTGCTCGGGACCCAGTGTGTTTGTACAGGTTAGAGGAGAAACTAATTGGAAGATCTGGATGTCGATATAGATATCCTTTACTTGGGACCCAAGGTGAGAATGGCAAACACAACCTTCACTTCAGGGCTTGGAGACTAGAATGACAGAATTCCCTTGTTAAACAAGCACATTGGTGTTTAGTGGGCGTTGTGGAATGGTACTGTTTCTAAGCACGTGGTCATGTGGTCTCCCGAGCTTTCTGTTCATGGGACCTCACCAGCCTCCTGCTTCTGTAAACTATTAGGAAAGAAAGCCAGCCTGAGATTTCTCTCCTCTCAGACCCTGTGCCCAAAGAAAGAAGCCTGAGGCCAGGTGTGGTGGCTCACGCCTATAATCCCAGCACTTTGAGAGGCTGAAGCAGGCAGATCACAAGGTCAGGAGATCTAGATCATCCTGGCTAACATGGTGAAACCTCGTCTCTACTAAAAAATTAGCCAGGCATGGTGGTGGGTGCCTGTAGTCCCAGCTACTCGGGAGGCTGAGGCAGGAGAATAGCATGAACCTGGGAGGCAGAGCTTGCAGTGAGCCAAGATCGCGCTACTGCACTCCAACCTGAGTGACAGAGCGAGACACTGTTTCAGAAAAAAAAAAAAAAAGAAAGAAAGAAGCTTGAGACATTCTACCCAACATCCCGGGTCAGAGAGAAATTTGGTCTTAAAATGTTAGCTGGAAGCATGACTCTTCCAAGAGAAATTTAAGTGGGCTGCTGTTTCTCTTAGGGTAAAACTCAAAGATATACCCATTTGGGTAGTATTCTGTGGTCCTCTGATGCTGGTGTGGTGTCACAGAGGACCAAGACTGACATGTCCTTCCTGTGACAGTGGTGGAGAATGAGGCTCAGTAACTCTGTCCATCACCATGGTAGCAGTCCTGGACCCCAGGGCTTTGCTCCGTCGGTGCTGAAATTCAAAGAGAAGAATTCAAGTTGAGTAATTTCTAGAACAGAGAAGCATGGAAAGAAATCTGTGACAGACACAGGACAGAGTTCTCTGAGAATGCTAACTATGCTCTTTTCTATATTAGCAGGCAGAGGGAAATGCCAAAAGAAAATAAAACAACAATAGATTCATAGCATTCTAGAACCTTAAGGAGTTCTTAGAGTGATTTTCTTTAAAACCTGGACACCACAGAACAGATGAGAGTGCCTATCAGTCGTAATGGTTCTCACGCACATACTCTTTTGCATAGACCTCTTCTGGGTGTTCATGAGAACAAGGCAGGAGACCGGAGTGCCATGTATCAGGCTGTGCATGCTGTAGGTGGTGATTGGCTGTCTTGGGGGGCAGACATGAAACCTGGGAAATTTTTCTATATCACTGTTCCTACAAGACCAAATTTTTTCAGCTTCTGGCGGACAGGTCAGGAAACGGTCCTGCCTCTAAGACTGTAGGCAACCACCCTTTGCTTCTCAAGAATGGGTAGGGGCCCAGATCTTATTCTCTTGGTGGAGAGATGGGGACTTTTCTAGTGCCCAGCATTTTGCATTGCAACAAAGCAGAAGTCTACTACTCTTCCTCTTTAAACGCCCCACAGATACAAGTTCCATGAGAAGCAGGGGCAAGAACACTGAGAAGTCTCTCCTTTCAACGTCTAGTTGTACACAGCTTGCCTAAGACTGAAGTTGTTCCCAGAGATAGTGCATTTGCCTTCATTGACCAAAAGCTGAGCATTCAGTAACAGGAAACAGCAGAGTATCTGTGGGATTAGTTTGTGTGCATGAAGCTATCTCCTCTGTAGTGCAGGCATGCAGTGACTGCTGAAATCTCAGAATCGATTAGGAACGCTGAGAAAACTCTTCAACCTCCCAGGCCCCACTCTAAGCAAAAGATATTAATAGTAGCCCATCACTGGAGGAATTTAAACCCTTAGTGCACTTAAGGTAAAAGTAGCAATCACAAAATCCCAAATTCAGCTCAACTAGTGACTACATTGAGTCAGTTACCCACAACATTTATTTGCAAGAGAAGAAGGGTGACCATTTCAAAGTATAAATAATACTTACTGCAATCTCTACTGTTCTTCCATTTATAACGTCTAGTTTTGATTAAAGAATGACAAGGCATACCAAAAATCCAAGGGGGGAGAAAGACACTAGTGAATAATAAAGCAATCAAGAGAGCCAGACTCAGAGAAGACTCCATCTGACAACTATCAGATTTGAATTGTACAATACTTACATTAATATGTTAAAGGATTTTGTGGTAATAGTGGACAGTATGCATGGATAGGTGGAGAATTTCAGCAAAGAGATGGAAACTACAGAAAAGAGTAACATGAAAATGCTAGGAAGAAAATCGTAATATCAGAGATGAAGAATTCACTCAATGGACTGAGAAGTCAACTAGACACAACTGACAAAATAATCCATAAACTTGGACATATGTTACTAGAACTTATCAAAAACAACACGAAAAGAAAGAAAAATAGTTACTGGAAAAAAAAAAAAAGCAGAACAAGCTTATAAGATTTATGAAACAACATTTTTCTAACACTGGGGTACTTAGAGTCCCAAAAGGAAAATACAGAGAGAAGTGAAAAAAGAACCATTTGAACAGATAATAGCTATGAATTTTACAAAGACAATGAAAATCAACAATCTACAAATCCATTGAGCTCAGTAAACCTCAAGTGGAATAAAAACAAAAAATTAGTAATAAACACATCATAGTCAAATTGTTGAAAATCAAAGATAAGAAAATCTTAAAGGCAGGCAGAGAAAAAGGAACTATTGAATACACAGGAAGAAGTGCCAGATTTCTGGTCAGAAACCATTTAAAACAGAAGATAATGGAATATCATCATTAAAGCAAGGCATGAAACTCTCAACCTAGTATCTATACTTGGCAAAATTATTTTAAAAACTGAAGGCAAAATAAAGACTTCTTCTGACACATAAAATCTGAAAGACTTCAGCAGCAGCAGATCTGTGCTACAAGAAATGCTAAAGATTGTTTTTCACAGAAAGAATCTGACAACAGATGGAAATTGAGATCTACCCCAAAAGATGAGGAGCACCAGAAATGGTAAAATAAATTAAGAAGGAAATATTTAAAATATGTGTATTCATAATCACTTTAAAACGCAACTGACCATTCCGTTAATGGTCATGCAGTTAATGTATTGTGAGATCTATAACAGAGTGGATGTTATAGATCTCTGTTAGAGAGAGCAATAGCACAACATTTTGAGGGAGGAACTAGAAGCACAAGGATGTAAGGTTCTTATAGAATAGTATCCTTTCAAGGTAGAATAGTATCATTTCAAGGTGGAATGTGAAACATCAAAGATGTATAATTATAAACATCGAGGAAAATACTAAAACCGTTAAAAATTAACTAAACTCATAAGTAAATGGTGGAAATAAAAGGCAATCATAAAAACACTTAACCCAAATGAAGGCAGAAAAAGATGAAAAAAGGAACAAAGTTTAAATGGGACAAAGAGAAATAAGTAACTTGATGGTAGGTGTAAATTCAACCCTATTAACAATTACTTTAATGCAAATGGTCTGTACATCTCAATGTAAAAGCTGAGAAAAAGATATATCAAACAAATACTAGTGAAAATAGAGCTGTGAAGGCTGTATTCATATCACCACAAATAGAGTTCAGAACTTCAGAACAAAAAATGTTCCCAGAGATAAGAAGAAACGTTACATAATGATAAAGGGGTCCTTTCATCAAGAAGACATAACAATCCTAAATACACATGTGCCTAACAATAGGGTTCAAAATATACAAAACACAGTTACGATCTAAAAAAGAAACAGACTAATCTACAGTTGAAGTTGGACACATCACCATTCAGCCTTGGGAGTCAATAAAGGAGACAGACAATCAGTAAGGATACAGAAGAATACCAGAAAGCAACTTCACCTAAATGATCTTGAGAGAACATCCCACCGAACAACTGTAGAAGACACATTCTTTTCAAGAGCACATGAAACTGAGTTTCAGACCAGCTTGGCCAACATGGTGAACCTCGTCTCTACCAAAAACACAAAAAATTAGCTGGATGTGGTGGTGTACATCTGTAATTTCAGCTACGTGGGAGGCTGAGGCAGGAGAATCGCTTGAACCTGGGAGGTGGAAGTTTCAGTGAGCCAAGACTATGCCACTGCACTCCAGCCTGGGTGACAGAGCAAGACTCCATCTGAAAAAAAAAAAAAAAAAAAAAAAAGAACTGAGTTTCAGAATCAGTAATAAAAAACCGACCAACCAGAAAAAGCCTTGGACCAGACAAATTCACATCTAAATTCTACCAGTCATATAAAGAAGTGCTTGGACCAAGACTACTGAAACAATTCCAAAAAACGGAAGAGGAAGAACTAACGCATTTTATGAGGCCACCAGCGTCATTCTGATGCTAAAGCTTGGCAGACACACAACAACAATAAAGGAAACTTCAAGCCAATATCCTTGATGAACACAGATGCAAAAATCCTCAATAAAATACTAGCAAACTGAATTCAGTAGTACATCAAAAAGCAAATCCACCGCAATCAAGTAGGCTTTATTCCTGGGATTCAAGGTTGGTTCAACATATACAAATCAATAACTGAGATTCATGACATAAATGAAACTAAGATCCTCAAATATGTATCTTAAGGACAGTTGTCTTTTATACTATCTCATTGAGGTTCTCTGAATTTCCTGTGTTTGTATGTCGACCTCTTTAGTGATTTTGGGGAAATTTTCATGGACGATATCCTCAAATATGTTTTCCAAGTTGCTCACTTTCTCTCCCCTTCAGAGACAACAATGAGTCACAGATTTGGTCTCCTTATATAACCCCATATTTCTCAGAGGCTTTGTTCATTTTTTACATTTCTTTTATCTTTTTCTTCTTTCTTTTTCTTTTTTTTTTCTTTTTTTTTTTTTTGAGACGGAGTCTTGCTCTGTTCGCCAGGCTAGAGTGCAGTGGCATGATCTCGGCTAACTGCAACCTCCGCCTCCCAGGTTCAAGTGATTCTCCTGCCTCAGCCTCCCAAGTAGCTGGGACTGCAGGCACGTGCCACCATGCTCAGCTAATTTTTGTATTTTTAGTAGAGATGGGGTTTCACCATGTTGGCCAGGATTGTCTCAATCTCTTGACCTCGTGATCCACCCACCTTGGCCTCCCAAAGTGCTTTGATTACAGGTGTTAGCCCCCATGCCCGGTCACTTCTTTGTTCTTTATTTTTGTCTGACAACGTTAATTTGAAAAATGGTATTCAAGCTCTGAGATTCTTTCCTCAGCTGGGTCTATTCTGCTGTTAAAACTTCTGATTGTACTATGAAATTCTTACAGTGAGATTTTTTAGCTCTACCAGATGGGCTTGGTTCTTCTTCAAATGGCTTTTTTGTCTGTCATCTCTTGAATCATTTTACTCACTCCTTAGATTCCTTGGGATGGGTTTCAACTTTCTCCTTAATTTCACTCAATGCTCTCTGCTGCCATCCAGATTCTGAATCCTATGTCTGTCACTTCAGCCATTTCTTTCTGGTTAGGAACCATTGCTGGGGAGCTAGGAGCTAGTGTGGTCATTTGGAGATACGGAGACAGTTTGGCTTTTAGAGTTGCCAGAATTCTTGTGCTGGTTCTTTCTCGTTTGTGTGGGCTGATGTTCCTTTAACTGTGATGTAATTTGAGTACAGTCAGTGGATTTCATTTCTGGATGTTTTCAGAGGGCCAAAGTGGTGTGCAAGGTCTTTATTTGTGGCTAAATTTCCATCCATAGTTTTACAGGGGAGTATACTAACAAAGTATTTTTGATTTTAAAGTTTGGGCTGCAAACTCACAGATGGCTCATAAATGGCCTGTGAGTGGGCTCTGGCTCAGTCACGTGGCTCCTCTGCATTGCCTCGCATTTGGAGCCACGCTCCCTCTCAGTACCCTGAGGATGCCAGCTCCTCTCCCACTTGAGTGCTGGCTGCAGATCTCAGCTTAGCACTCCTGGGCTGTGCACCGCAGCCCTGGGGCAAGCTCAGGCTTTATGTTCACTCCACAGCTTGGGGGCGGCAGGGGCAGGAACCTTGTCAGTGGCCATGGGAGTGGACTTTTTGCCCGTCCCTTGGGGCTCCACTCCAGAGAAACTTAGAGCTATTGCCAATCGGAAGAATCAGCCAGGGTGTGGTGGCTGCATTGTGAGCCCAAGCCAGAGGGCCCTGCCTGGTGAGGAGTGGGGCATCGGGGGCGTGCAGGGAAGACACACTGGCCTGTTTTCCATAGGGTGGCTGGGGCCTGCTGGGGTGTGAATAAAGCGCTCAGGATCTTTGTTCCTTCCCCAGTCCACAGACAGCAAGGGCAGTACGACTGCAGTGGCTGTGGCAGATGGGCTTCCAGTTGCCTCTGGGAGCTCCATCGCACAAAAACAAGGAGCTGCTGCCAGTGGAAATGTTCAGCTGAGTGTGAGGTGCCTGCACTGTGGGCCCAAGCCAGGAGCCCTGCCTGGTGAAGAGTAGCAGGTGGGAGCTCACAGGGAAGAGAGACTGGAATTCTTTCCATATAACCTCTGCTGTGTGCTGGAGGTGTCAGGGAAGTGACCCGGTCCCTTTGTTCCTTCTCCAGTCCAAGGCCAGTAAGGGCGGTCCTGCTGCAGCTGCAATGGCAGAGGGGCTGCGGGTTGTCTTTGGGATTTCCTCCCTAGAGAAGTACGGAGCCAACACTGACTAATATGTTCAGGCAGGGCCAGGGGGCCTGTGCTCTGCCCAGTGAGGAGTAGCAGGGGCAGGGGCCAGTGTAGAAAACAGTGTGGCCACTTTTCCATAAGGCAGCTACGCTGTGCTGGAGGTCAGCGAGAGTCCTGAAGCTCCTCGCTCCCTCCTGAGGCTGCACTTTAATCTCAAGAGTTTGAGATAAACACTGGTAAGGAAGAAAGTATAACATGTATGGCTAATGAAACCCAGGAAGATAAGTCAATGCACAGAAGTAATTCCAACCTAAAGAAATACTTTTTAAAATCATATTTATAGAGGTTTGCAGTGATACTAAAAACAATATTGCAAATCATTATCAAGAATACAATAACTAGGGTGTTTGTTTCCCTTCCTGTTTAACACCTGTGATCAGAATCTTTGGAGAGCTAAATTGTTATTATTAACCTCTTAATACCTAGCCACCAACACAGCACAGGAAACAGTTTTTAAACTGTCATACATCCCTTTAAATCTTCATATACTTAGTGGAACTTTTGCATATCTAAAAAGACACGTAATTTCCATTGAAATCCAGGCCACCTCTTTTTCTAAACAATGAGACTATTGATCCACATTTTAAAAGAAACTGTAGAAAAGGAACTGTAACTTTTGCACATTAAAAAAAATTTTCAGAGTCTGAGGAAAATATAGACCATGGCCCCCCAAACATGGAAAATTTAAGAATAAAGCTAATAATTTTTTACAAAAATTAGCTGGGCATGGTGGTGTACAATTGTAGTCCCAGCTACTTGGGAGGCTGAGGCACTAGAATTGCTCGAACCCAGGAGGCAGAGGTTGGTTGGAGTGAGCTGAGATCGCACCACTGAACTCCAATCTGGATGGCACAGTGAGACTCTTTCTCAAAAACATAAAAAAATAAAATAAGGATTTTTTTGTTCCTATTCGACTGTTACTGAGGATTAAAAAGCCACAGTATTTCTATTTTACAAGGCTTCAGTCCAGAAATTAGAGACCTGGGCCATGGTCACCCTGCAGAATAAGAAGCCAAGATCATAAGGATTGCTTAGACTTCCCATCTCTTCCTTAAATATAAAATAATATTTCAAATATCCCATTTTCAGGGTCATAGGGGTAGATGTGATTTTGTAAATCCAATCTCTTCATTTTTTGAACAACTACAAAAAATGAAACCCAAGAGGTGAAATAATATACTCAAGCTGACATGGCTAATTAGTAATCAAATCCTGTCCTAACTCAGAATTCAATGTCACTACGCCATAGTGCCTTCCTTCTCTGGTCTCATAAATTAAAGACGGAAAAGAGGAGGAGGTGGAGTGAGAGGAGGGGGGAGGAGTGGAGAACGAGGAGGAAGAAGAAAATGTACTCACCTTTCTTTTCAAATAAACTGACCTCTCATCCTCATGACTGTGGAGGACTTCCTGCTTTCAGCCATTATCACACATTATTGCTCTTTACTCTGATATTGAAATGACCTGCAGAGGAAATCAGGAAACCAAATAAGTATTTTTCTTTATTTAAAGAAAACAAATGTTTATTAACAAGTGAGACACGCTAAAGAGCACTGAATCTCTTGATGGACCAGGGAGCTCACAACGGCCGCCTCTTTCAGTTATTTGGGCATGGCATCGATGAAGTACTGAACAAAATACACCAACGTGGCAGTAACTCTCGTTCTCTCGTGCCCCTACTTCCCCTCCCTCATAATTTTCTCCTTCTTTCTTTCTGTTTCAACTGCTTTACTTCTTCTTACTCGTTTTCTTAATTTTTGTTTTGGGGTTGGAAAGAAGCAACTGTCCATGACAGTACCAGTAGAAATAAAAGTGGTTTAGACATATAGGATTCTTCAAAGGGGTCCTAACGTAGATTAAAAATAAAATGTTAATTTTGCTAAAGATTATTAATAGCTTATTACCATTTAAAGTAAATTTGAAAAAATAGACAAAAGTACAATGCCTATTTGGTAAATATTCATGTATTTTATAACAATATATACCACGACTATATATCCAAAACATTAGAGAGGTACCTAAGGAATAGAAAGGTGTATGTACCCAGAAGATGATGAAGGGAAAAATGAAATGCAATACTTAAATTGTATTAAAATGAAATCTAATAAAATATAAACATGAAATTTATAAATAAGAACTAGGTCTCACAGAATGGATTAGAATTGTTCATCATATACTGAGTAATATTACTAAATTGAGTTTGTGTTCCTGAATTCCCAAGTAAAACCAAATACATTTAAAAATTAGGAAATTCAAGGCAAACTTTGTTTCTTCTATATTTTCTTGAAAAACCCAAAACCTAGCCCACTGGGTCTTTACTCCTTTATGGCAACAAAAACACTATTTCTGAGTAGCAGCTGTATCTTTGAAAAGGGACTACGTTCTTGTAATAGCATCCACTTCAGTTTCACTTATCTGTAATCAGCTTGGCACATGTAAAAATGTGTTCGTAATTATTTCAAAGTGTCTAGCAGAACAGGTGAGGCAATATAGATCAATGAGAATTTTGACCTTGACTAGAATGTATCACGTTCAAAGTGCTTTTGTACATTCAAGGTCAATAAATTACCTTGATTTAATGTCCAAGCCCTGTTGCCCACAATCTTATTTTCTACCTTAATACTGTTTCCAGTTCAAAGTCTATAAAAGAATCTCTTTCTTGGCTTCCAGTGTTATTTATTTTACCTGCATACACCTATTCCTACTATAGCATTATATATATAAAGAGTATCTATTGTAACTGGAGCTATTGGGAATAGTATTCTTATTTTAGAATATAATAATTTTGCTTACTTGATATAATGCATTTTAAACTGGCCAGTAAAATTCAACCTTCTGCAAACTTCATGTAGTTTTAAATTTTTAAACCTCATCAGGTAAAACCAATTCATACTAATGTTCACTAAGCATTGTCATATTTTTCCCTAGAATGTTTGCATCCATTGAAATGTCTACTAACATAACAGTACAGGAAAGTGTCTATTTTCCTTCATCTCCTCTTCTGACTTGTACTTTCTATACATTATTACTTTTTAAAAGATGTCAAACTGTCTATCAAACTCCAACAATTATCTAAGCAAATGCAGTACACACGCATGCACACGCACACACATCATCTGGAATTCCCAACATCCTTTCTTGTGATACCACTTTTCATTTTGCAATGTCGTTGAATTTCATTTATTGGAAACACTCATAAGAGACCCAGGGATTGTTACACAAATGGCATTTCATTAGCAGGTCATTGATCTCTAGGCTTCCTGAAAGCCAGAAAAGACTTTAGGCTTATTACTTTGGGAGTGATTTAACCAAAGTTGCGTATCTTCTGCTAGACATGAGTGGTGAGTCACAGAGGTGATATAATTCTAAATCGTACTAAAGTAAAAATGCATACTTTTATACTTACAGATAAATGTGGAGGACAAGGAGGGATAATACATTGGGAAAAGAAAGAACAGAACTAAGATTTACCTCTTTGTTCAGTGAGGACAAAATTCAAACTATCTCCTTTGCAAATAACTTTATTTATGCATTACATTTGATTTAGAAATAGGATAATAGAAACCATAAGTATTAACTTGATAGAGTTTTTAAATGCATATATGAATACATGGATTAGTGTTTTGTTTTTTTTTAAATTTTGTCAAAGAACATAGGCATTCTCTTCTAGTTACGAATAAGGCTCAATTTTTTTTTTTTTTTAAACTAGAGTTCCTATGAGAAATGGCAACTCTCATTGACTTCACTGGGTAGTGCTGATACATATATAAAATGTCCTTGAAGGAGTTCAGCCATGTGGGTAGAATGTTAAGAAGTGGGGTGCAAGCAGGGACTTGTATGCTTGCTTGTTTTGACCCCTTTCTGTCCCAGGAGGCTGCTGCCCTTCAGCCTGGGTCTCAGAATGAGAGGTGGAGCACACCTGAGAAAGCCAGGCCTGTGGAGTGAAGCAGAGTTACCCTGCTAAATCCAGATGACTCCCAGACATGTGAGTGAACCAAGCTGAGATCACAGAGCTTTACTGGTAGATGTGCAGATCTGTGAGAAAAAAATTCTTATTGTTGTATGCTGCTGGTATTTGTGGACTGTATATTTTGAAGCAATAGCTATAGCTACATACTGCAACCGAAGTTTTGAATATTTTTGTTTTCCATTTGTACAATATAGTCCTTTATTACGTAAAGACCTGATTTAAAAGACCTTTTTATGTGAATTTACCATTATGTAAATTTCCTGATTTTTCTTCATCTCAGAAAAACACTCTTCTATTATTTCTTTGATTATTGCTTCTAAACCATTGCTTCTGCTTTCTTGTTAAGCAAACTCAAGTGTATTTATGTGGACTTTTTATTCTCTTTCTTTTTGCTCCCTGTTATCTCAGCATTGGTCACATTTTAACCTGCATTCTGAGTGGACTTACTATTTCCTCCACATCATTGATTCAATTTTTTATAGCCCAGTTCATTTTTTTTTTCTCATAACAGAGCTTTAAGCCCTCAAATATAGCTTTCCTTTTTAATGATTCATTTATGCTTTCCTTTTTAAAATATATTCTCTTAACTTTTGAATTTATTTCTCATTTTTATTTTCCCATAATTTGGACTGAGAACACAAACTATTTTACTTCTAGAACATTCTTCTGTTTTTCAAAATGAATTCCTGTTGGTGTGCCCTGCTGTTATAATGATTGCTCTGGAATTCTTGTTTTCAGAGTTTAAGCTAAGAGTGAGTTTCTAGTCAGCTCCCTCCTAGTTAAATGTGTGATGTTTATCCTCTGTGTGTATCTGCTAACCCCCAGGAGGAAACTCCTAGTTTGTCTTCTGTTATTCTTTCTGGCTTATGATTTTTCTTTGTGTCCCAAATATAGAAAAGGCAGTTAAAGGGGTGAAGGTTGAGGTTAAATTTCAGTACAAGAGTTCTCAACAATAGCTTATTAATAAAGCATTTGATTAGTTTTTCCCTAAAAATAACTTGTCTGTTAGTTATAGATATTCTATATCCCTGAAATATAGCACTATACAAATACTGCTTTTAAATAAACATTTAATAAATATATCAGAGTGTTTCCCATTTGACTGATGGAATACAAAACCATTTTTATTTTTTAAAGTTTTTTTGACTTTTAGCAGTCAGTTTTCTAGAAAACCTGTGGTATTTACCCTATATCCACTACTGCAGATTGGGAACAGCCTATCAATATCTCCACATTGTACTTATGTAGCTTTCTTACTCCTTATTACCTTTAAGTTAGAAAAACATGTATTCAACAGAATGGAGTATATTATTCAAGCAACTTTTCTATTAAAGCTCTATTGCAGATGAAGGAAGACTTCGAATCTCTAATCAAGATTCTGTTTTAGTTGTGTTATATATTCCCACTTAAAATGAGGTATAACAAAAAGGTACTAAACTGAAAGTCCTGGGCAGGAGAAAAATGTAAATGTCTTCAGTTCTGTTCTTAACTCTTCTGCATCCTGCCTACTGTTCTAGGAGACAGACCAGAAACAAAAAGGAAGGGAAGACTGGGGAAAATTGAGTCTGAGGGAGCCATAAGTGAACGGACCATTAAGGATGGCCAGAGCCTGTAATTCCAGCACTTTGGGAGGCCAAGGCGGGCAAATCATGAGGTCAGGAGTTTGAGACCAGCCTGGCCAACATGGTGAAACCCCATCTCTACTAAAAATACAAAAATTTAGTTGGGTGTGGTGGTGGGCGCGGGTAATCCCAGCTACTCGGGAGGCTGAGGCAGGAGAATCACTTGAACCTGGGAGGTGGAGGTTGCAGTGAGCCTAGATCATGCCATTACCCTTCAGCCTTGGCAACAATGTGAGACTCTATCTCAAAAAAAAAAAAAAAAAAAAAGACCAGAGTGTGAAGATATTTATGTTTTCTAAAATTAAACAACTGGTGATGAGATAACCAGGGGAAGAAGTTTAATTAACTTTCTCAAATCCACAGAATGGAATGCACTATAAATTTGTACATGTAGAAGAAGTACCTTTAATATTTGATTCAATATTGAAATAACTGTAGGATGAAACAAATTACAGACAGTTGGAAATACATATTTAGACTGTACAAAAGAAAGAACCTATGACAAGAGATGTAGGTCTAGGAGTCATTTAAGATGAATCTTTAAGTCACCCAATGAGATTGCCCAGAAAGACATGGGGACATTTGTGTCAACAGCATGCAAGTAAATAGAATGGCACAGACACTAAAAAAGAATAACCAAATATGGGAATTCACATTCCAGAGTGAAAATTAGGAGCAGGAGCCACATTCTGAACAATCAGGGGACAAAGTGGCCACAGGACACATGAGGCAGAAATGATGGAGGTGTGAGTAATCTGGTTTAGTTCTGGAAAACTAAGTCTTACTATTACAGCGAATTTTTTTAGGAGAGAATTTTAAAGAGATAAAAATTTTAATCAATGCCGCTTCTCTTAAATGCTAAACATTATTGT